AGCACTGCTTTGAAGCTTGTGTCACCAGATGGGGTGTTCTTTGTTTACATTCAGAAGCTCGCTTGACAAGATTCTGATAGTATTTCGACACACGACAGTTCCATAGAAATCGAAAAGGGGGGACACTTTCGCATGAAAGACACATTCATAGTGTGATGGATAACAGCAATTTGTATAGTTTAGTGACATTTACGCAAAAATCACATCTTGGTTATTTTTCGATAACTAACAACAGCGATTTTGATTATGAATTTGTTTTATAAAATTATAAGCTGTTGCACTACAAAAATATAGATTTTAAGAAAAATGTTATGCTTAAAGAATGAAAAATACCTTACGGTACATTTAAAATTGTATACATCTTTCGATACCCTTGATAGAGTATTCACTACTTTTATTTTATTTTCCAAGCGTCAAAATGTTTTAAATAAAACAATTTTTTTTCACATCCATATATTATCGTAACATGTACCTTTTAAAATTTTTTAGAGGAGAGGCTTTACTGCTGCTCATTTTAAACCCATCGTTTTAATTTTATATATCTGAAAAATATAATCACTTTGGGCTTACACGTTTTATAAATATAAAATTACGTATGTTAAAATATTTGTAATTAGGCACATAGGTCAGATTAAGTTTTTATTAAATAGAGTAATGCATGCAAGGGCTATCTGCCTAAAGAGAGAGATGCCATCGTGGAGGAATTTTGAAGAAAAACTGACCTTTGAGTGGGTATTAAAAATAATAATTATAATTTTCATTCAAATTATATTCATATAAATTTTTTATGTAAAACTTTCGGGTTTATGCTAAATTAGTGTAAATTACTTTACACGAAAAATATAGTGAATGCACAGAAATTAATGATTTGCACATGCCGGAAATGAAAAATAGGAAATATGTATGGGTATTTATGCACGTGCTTGCAAAAAGCATGTATCTGCCTTTGACAAAATACTTAAATATTCATTAAATTATTTATAAATGTATTTGAAATGAAGAATTTATTCACTTATAAACAACTGTGAAAGTACTGTGAAGAAATCTAATTATTAAATGTATCTAATTTATAATGATTATAAATGTTATCTAAATATATAATAACCTTAATATTGAATTGTAAACATAAATTGAAATCCTGTTGACAAATACGTTATAAAACTATTTAAGCAAGAATTGTTCGTATTGGAAAGCAATCTGTTAAAAGGTATTGTAAAGCAAATGCTATGAGATGCGCACTTAAGAACGTAATAAAGAGTTTTGGAATATGTATTGTTGAAATGAAGGTTAAAAGAAAATCTGATAAGTATAATTAAAAGAATTATTCCCCTTACATTTTATAATAACTCAGTTACAAGTTTTAAATAATACTTAACAAAAAAACAAAAACAAAAAGCAAACCCCCCCCCCCCAAAAAAAAATTATTTTATTCCCTTTCAGAAATGTTCAGAGAAAGTCAAGTACTATTTAATACCAATTTAATTAAAATGAACCGAATAGAGCATTAATTATAAATTGACTTACATTTTTCGATTTAAAAGATGCCTCAGAAGCCAAAAAATCATGTCATATTTAAGAAAGTATTTTAGGAAGAAGCTTTATAAATAGAAAAGAAATAATGTATAATTTTAATATTAATAATACAATAAACTTTGATCTTAATTTTTGTACCTAAACCTAATAAAATCGAATTACCTTAATTTTTTTTCTAATGTAATTAACGAAAACTTGTGAAAATATTTCATTCAAATTAAACCATTCTGAAAAAACAGTCCTGTGAAAAGTATAGCATTTAATTCCGTTCAGAATGAAATGTTGTTTAAAAATATGTTTTCACATACTTAGAACTCTGAAGTGTTGTAGAAAAAGAAAATATATACATTTATATGTATATTTACGACGTAATTACAAAATATTTACATCGAACGCGTCAAATCCCATTGAACTCAATGGTAAATGACCCAATGTTTTGGTCACCACGTAGGGATCGCCGGTGCTTCAGAGCAGGGTACAGGAGAAACTTGTTTAGGGCGACTCCATCTTACTTCCTACCTCCATGGTCTGACCCGAGCTCAAAAGAAGTTTTCTTGTGTGCATTTATAACAAACCTATGAAATGCTAGTATTTTTTCTTCATAATCTGCTGGCATTTTCTGTGCAATAGTTGTTTTTGTGCACATTGATAAGCCTTGCCTTTTCATAAACCTGTAGCACCAGCCCTCAGTCCCTGAAAAGTTCTGATTCCCATGTTTTTCTGCAAATCCTTTGGCCTCATTTTGGGTGAAACACTTATCACAGATTTCCTCTTATCTATCACCCGCATTTTTTAGACACACAACTTTTTCTACATCATCCATAATTATTTTTGTGCATGCGTGAAATATCTGTCGCCAAAAAGCGCCAAAGCTCGGAGCTGATGTCGAAGTTGGAACAGGTTCGACGGTTACATTACGTCTATGGAGCCTTTCCTTCTTTACATAGACTTTCTTTGACTCAGCCAACATACATGTCGGTATCGGTTGCTACTCTGTATAAATGTGACGGTATCGATGCTTAAAACTATTTGTTTTAAAAAAATAACCTGGAAAATATGACCACAGGAAACAAGAGATTAAGCTATACAATTCAGTATAAACTAGGACTGTTAAACTACATCAAAGTGCATGGAAACAGAGCAGCAGCAAGGCATTTTGGTCCACCACCTACCAAAAAAATGATACATACTTGGCGACTGCAGGAAGATCAAATGAAGACTGCTAAAAAACAAAAACGTAACTTTTCGATGCGTAGCTCCATCTTGGCCTGAACTTGAAAATGCCGTAAAAATGCGGGTGATAGATAAGAGGAAATCTGTGATAAGTGTTTCACCCAAAATGAGGCCAAAGGATTTGCAGAAAAACATGGGAATCAGAACTTTTCAGGGACTGAGGGCTGGTGCTACAGGTTTATGAAAAGGCAAGGCTTATCAATGTGCACAAAAACAACTATTGCACAGAAAATGCCAGCAGATTATGAAGAAAAAATACTAGCATTTCATAGGTTTTTGTTATAAATGCACACAAGAAAAACTTCTTTTGAGCTCGGTCAGATAGGAAATATGGATGAAATTACACTCACATTTGATGTACCATCCAACAAGACTGTGAGTATTAAAGGGTCTAAATCAATAACCATAAAAAAGACCACACGTCATGAAAAACCCGATATATGGTAGATCTAACATGTTGTGCTAATGGCACAAAATTACCGCCGTTTTTCATATTCAAAAGAAAAACTCATCTGAAAGAAAAACTTCCAACGGGTGTAATTGTTCATGTTCATCCGAAAGGCTGGATAGATGAAGCTAGAATGAAACTGTGGTTAAAGAAAGTATGGGCGAGGCGACCTGGTGGACCCTTAACCACTTGCGGTACGACTAAACTTCAGGGTTGCTGTGCCGTGCGCTACAATACAATATAACAAGCAGTAAAGTATCTCATTTATGGCACTCCATGTCTGGGAGTGCAATCCAGAGCTGTAACTGGAGAAATAAACAATCTCGTTGTTAGGCAATGTGTGCACCACGTTATTTTCATTTTTGGTTTAAATACCTATCGACGGGGTGTTCACGCCGCTCGCGGTGTGAAACAAAAGCATCTCAATGTGCGTGGCATGGCTTTTTAGCGCAAGTGGTTACGAAAGCCCTCTCTTTTGGTTTTGGATCAGTTAGCGCCCATAGAACCGAAACCATAAAGAATAAAGCGAGAGAATTAAAAACCCAGATAGCTGTCATTCCTGGTGGACTGACTAGCCTATTGCAGCCTTTAGATATATCAGTGAATAAGCCATTTAAGGAAAAAGTGCGAGAACGATGGAACAAGTGGATAGGAGAGCCACATCACGCCCTCGTAGAATGAAGCGGCCCTCTATTTCACAAGTGTGCGAGTGGATAAAAAGATCTTGGGAGGAAATAAAGGCTGAAGTAATTGTTGAGTCCTTTAAGAAGTGTGGAATCGGTAATGTTCTTGACGGAACACAAGACGACGCATTATTCGAAGAAGGTGATACTAGCGATGACGGAAACAGTAGTGATGACAATATTCTCGTTTTCGATGATGATGATGATAGCGAAAAGGATTTTTATGGTTTTGAAAGTGATTAAAGTCTAATTTCATGATAGGCAACGTTTTCCTTGAATCTGTGTTTTTTGTTGTTTCTGCTTTATTTTGTATTATGTTTGATTGCTTGCCGTTCATTCATTTATTTATTATTGATATTTACATATCATGTTCAAAATAGCTTGCCATTTGTTAATTTTCCTTAATAAAAATATGTTTGGTAATTGCATTCAATTATTGTTTATTTGGCTTTTACGAAACGTGAGAACTAAAAGAAACCACATTTTAAGTTATTGTGGTACCACGCTTTCGTGCGGACTATTGAAATTTTTTTTCCTTGTGTGTGGTTTTCTAAATATAGGTGTGTCTTATATGCCGTCAAATATGGTAATTCATGCATGAGAATAGCAGCCATGTTTTATTGCATGTGATTAACATGTTTTATTTTTAATCATCATTTTGCCCAACATTATTCATTACTCACGAAACTTTAAATGCTGGATACATAAATTTTTGTTTTAAATACTGGACACATAAATTCTTATTGTTTTTTTAGTCATAAAATTGGGTGTCATATCTACCTCAAATAACCTTTACATAGCACACAGAGAACAGTAATGTAAAAATATTTTTCATCATCCGAAACACTGGATAATTTTAAGGGTCAGTAATTTTTCAGTTAAAGAAAGTTTTTTTTAAAAAAATCACAAAAATACAGGGAAAAAAAAAATTACAAAAAAAAGTTTTAGGTTTAAAATGAAATGAAATATTCTACATTGACAAGCTATAGCTTGTTACTTTAAAACAGTCACTTCAATGTCATAGTGACCCTCTGCTAATTTACACACATAACTTGTCATCATCACACAGAGTTAATTATGGGATATTAACAAGAGGATTTGACCTTTTATCTGTAGCAGTCATTATCATGCTTATAGAGGAATGGTTTGAGAGGAAGGATTTAATTTCGATATTAGAGGCATCGTAGCTATATGGACGACTGCAGGACAGACAGTGGCACAGCTAGGATGGGGCAAGGGGGGACATCTGTCCTCGGGCGCAGCATCCAGGGGACGCCAAACTGATATTACAAAATTTTTTAATGAAATGTTTTCCATTCCTGGCACAAAGAAAAGGGCGCAAAATCTTCACTTGTCCCCAGGGGCTGAAAACCTTAGCTACGGATCTGAGAAAAGAAGAAAAATAAATAAATAAAATAGTAAAATAATTAATGAACTGTAAAGAGATAAATAAAAATTTAATAAATTTTAAAATTAAGGGCAAATAATTAAATAGTCAAATAAAATACTGGGCATTGTCCTCTTTGGGGCTGACTGGCGTTTTACTAAAAATACTGAAGAACTCCTGGACTCTACCTGAATTTACGTCTTGAAGATTACAATGTACTATTTCAAGGGATCACCACACCAATAAAGAGAATTAAAATAATTACAGCATTACTAATGAGAATAAAGAAAATGCTATAAACAGTAATAAAGTATGAAGGAAATTTTAACGGAGGTTATGGAGGTATGGAAACAGAGAAAGAAGAGTTCAACACTTTCTGATTACGATCTTTTGCTAATATAATTTGAGCTCTCAAGTAAAAAGTGACAGGTCCTATTATGGCATGATTGGTTGCATGACCGGTGAATTTGACTGATGCGAAAATATTTGTTGGATGACAGTTAGGATGTATGTAACGTATTGTATACTGTGAATCGTAAAATGGCTGCCAGTGGTAAAATGGGTGTTAGGTGATATAGAATGAGGGAGCGGAAGTGGTTAAGGACAGAAGAAAGGAAACTTTGTTGGATGTAATTCAATATAATTATAAGTGTTCTGTTTCTATGAAGGAAATGTGGAACTATTCTCATGTATGCCCTCGCTTGGCGACAAATTTCTCGGCAAACATTTTTGGCGAGAAACTCCATGTTGCCATATTACTATCTAAATTTTTTGTCTGCATTTCAAACTTTAAGCTTGAAATGTCTCCAAAAATGCAGTTTTGAACACACTATTTAAGCTAAAATTCCAAAACAAAAACAAAAAATTTAGATAGTAAAAACGTAAAGTTTCTAACCAAAAATATTTGACAAGAATCCATGTACACAGTGATCTGTTTTAACTTAAAAAAAATCACAGAATTGCACAAACTACGCACATCTCTCTTAAATAAATTACCATAACAACAACAAATTTCAAAGAATACCATATACACAGCATTCTGTTTAAACTTCAAAAAACATCTACGAATTGCACAATCTAGACATTGCACACTAATTAACAAAATAAACTACAAACAATTCAAAAAACAATAATGACAGAAAATCATACTAAAAAAAAACAATGAAGATAACATTCTACAAAATAAGAACAAGAATTAAATGTACTTATCAAGAATGAATGCTTCTTCGAACACCAGAAATACCAATTTCAAACATCATCAAAACAATTTCAACACAAATTTATAGAAAGCATCTTCTCCCGTTTCAGAACAACGATGGAAAAACATATAAAACCACCAAATAAAACTCCAAATCACATTTCCATAATAAGTAGGCAACATAGGGCTGATCTTTGGAATATGGTAACTGGTAGTTTGGCGACATTTTGGAGGCGATAAAGGTTACTACCTAGGACTTTGGTAATAATGTGAGAAGTACTCAGTTCCGATTACACATTATTTTGTGTGAGGGAAATGAGAGATCATGAGATATGTCATGTGACATTAATGGACAAATTACAGTTCTTTAATCGGAAAAGGGGGGAAATCTGGAAATTTTGTATTTAGCTTTGTTCTGTGTTGTGTGAAACAGTGTTGGTTAATTTATGGATCCCATGGCCCTATCTAAAGTGAATTCAAAATGGGTATTTAGTGGGATTGAAAGGGGTAGTAATAAGTGTTTTTTTAAGGTTGTACGAGACAGAAAGTAAAGATAGCTTATTAAGTTTTATTAAGTCTGTTGGGAGGATGAAAGTTTTCAACCATCTTGCTGTGAACTATAAGCATGATTTTAAAGATCCTGAAACAGGTGCACATACGATTGCTTTTTATTTAGCGGAGGAAAAAAGAAAAGTGTATCCGCCACATAATCAAGATTCTGAAGAAGATTAGGTAAGTTAGTACAGTCAAAAGTCGTTAATTCGGACACCCATAATCCGGAATGATCTATAATCCGGACCTCAAAGCTAAAATCTTTCTGCGCATGCGCAAAGGCGTTTTACTCGTGCGCCCAAGACATTTACGACTGCGCATATGCGTCTGCGCAAGTGCAGAAACGTTTTCGCGTGCGCGTTTAATGTATAACGGACGCTTATAACTAAAATTATCTAATTATCTATTTCAGTTAATGTTGATGATTGCGTTGCGTTGTTCCTTAATCTTCGAATTGGATCCGGCTTATTATTTTTTGCAGACTGTAAGAGCAATTTTTTAAAAGTAAGCTTGAACTTTTGATTATGTCAAATAGAATTTCCGATGCTGGAGCTCCCAAAGGATCTAGAAAACGAAAGTACGTTTCGATGTCCATCAAACAAAAAACGAATTGCTACAAAAAATGGATAAAGGCATATTGTTTGTTTATCTAACCGTTCCGAAATCTGTTTATCGATTTCACGCTGCTCTGCGCGGGAGGGGGGGGAAGATGTCGCAGCGCGCAATGAACTGGAAGTTGATTTGTCAACACTATCGTTATCTTCAGAGCAGATGTTTTTTATTTTATTCGGCTTATAATTCCTTACTAAATGTAGTATTTAATTTCGATGTACTCCGTCTTTGATATGATTTAAATCAAATTCCTCGTCATTATAAATACCACAAATACAAATCAAATAGTTTTCTGGTTGCAATTTTCTAATTTCGACTATGCGTAAGGTATGCTTTACGCATCCGCGCGTTGAAAGAAATGTTTAATAAAGTAAACAAATAAATATTAGGCTTTTTTTTTGGTAAATTTTGATACCCTTTAGATCATAATTGCTCATTATTTTATAAATTACGGTTTCATATTTTTAATTTTATAATTTCTGCATGCCATCTTACCAGATTTAAACTGATGATCTATAATCCGGAATCGCCGAAGTCCCGACGAGTCCGGATTAAAGACTTTTGACTGTATTTTTAATTATTTGAGGATATTATTTTTATGCATTGTTCTAAATGTAAGGAGTAAATAAAGTAATATGGTATTATTGGAAAATTGTTATTAGCAGTGATTTAGTTTAAAGTAATTAGGATTGTAAGCTAATTTTTATTAATTTAATGTATGTGCTTATTTGTATTTTAAATAGTGTTTTTGAATTTAATTATATTTTAATTAAATGATAGTTATTTTGTGAATTATATGTTTGTAGGAATTTGGTATACATTTGAGTGGAAGTAAACGTGCATGGAAATAATTTAAATATTTGATACTAAGTATTTGTAATGCTTGCGGTATGAATTCGTTGGTGACATGTATAATGTAATAGATGATTTAGAGGTAAAAGTTTTTGGATATTTTATTTATTTTATATGTGGAAATGTTCATCTTTGGAAAGGGTATATACTTTTCGCGATCAGGTAATTTCATATATGTTCTTTTTACCGGGTTTAAAGATTCACAAAATTTTCATGCATTTTCGTGAAATTTTTCTAATTTATGATAAAAAAGCAGTGTACATGGATATAGTGAAGAGCGTGTGCAATGCCATTTTTGTGCAATTCTGGGTTGTTTTTTTAAGTAAAAATAAGTCAACGTGTACATGGTTTATGTATATGTGCTATTCTGAAAAACGCGCAAGGAGTTTACGATTGTTCACTTTTTCCCAATTTTGCAGTTAATATTTGTCATGAGTAAGCAGTTTTGTTACATAAAATTTCTAGCATAAGTGTAATTCGGCTAGTAGATTGTTGGAAAAAGTTTTCAGTAAATAAAAAGAAAAGAAACATGTCTTTACTTCGTGAAGACAAAATGGCGGGAAAAAAAAAAAAAAAAAATAGAGGATTGCTGTAGCAGAGTTGGTCGCCAAATTTTTGCAAAAAAATCGCCAAGTTACCATAATCCAAAGATCAACCCTCAGCCACCCGAAAAAATAGTTGCAGCAAACATGCGACTAAAATTTTGCTAACACATCTTGCATTGCATCATAAACCATTTCAAACCAACTAGTAACTAAAACCACTACAGTCAAATCCAAGTTTCCATGCAAAAAGGGTTGCCATAGAAACCAACATCGTTCCAAAGCCATCGTAGAACACACAATCGTGCCAAAAACCAGCACAGAACACATATCACCACATTTGGTGACCTGAGGGCATATATAAGAGAGTAGTACCAGAAATGCATATGGTCGAACGTAAAGATCGTTCAGATGGGTTTGTCGGATAGGTTCAAATGCTCACCATATAAAGTGTTCCATTAGAAAGGAAATATGAATAAAGTGAAAAAAGTGAGTGTTTGGATGCTGTTAAGGAATTTTGAGTGCCACGGACTGAAGACGCTGAAATTTCTAAATAAGGTACGTAAATATTTTCCTTGTGTATTGCTTAGATGGTACAAGATGAATTTCCTTTTTTTTTAATGTTATTTCATTGCTTGATTTAAAATGTAGTTTACTTAGCTTATATATTTTTTGTTTGGCTCTAGTGTAGAATTGGGTGCTCCTTTCACTTTTTAAGTGAAAATAGATCGATGTATATCTGGACAAAGTCAAGGGAGTGCACAATGCCAAGAATGTGCAATTCTCTGATGTTTTTTGAAGTGAAAATAGGTCGATGTGTACATGGGTACAGAGTTTGCGCAATTCTTTGCCTTGTTATTTTGGCTTTGTGTAGCGGCAATTTTTGGTGCAAAAATCGCCGCTACACAAAACCAAAATAACAAAGCAAAGAACTGCACAAACTCAGTGTCCATATACAGTCAAAAATCGTCAATTTTCGATGAGGGGCGCCCATAAATATATTTTTGTGACAATTTTTATGCCCTGTTACATTACTCCAAAATGACAAGTGCTTTTTTAAACAAGAAACAAAAACTGGAACGCAAAATTTACCCACTGCCATAAATTCATACTTTTTCTGAATAACCCTTTTACATGTTAAGGGAGGCTCTTCTTTCCTTACATGTGTTAACTAGTATCAAAGGATTTGTTTCGCACAGGAAAAGAAGAATGCATTCAGAAGTTAGAACCGAATTTT